AATGGTTCACGTTTTTAAATAATTTACAGCAATATAAAAATTACATAATACAATATTATATTATTGGTTCGCGTTTTTAAATACAAATTATTGACAGCAATATAAAAATTACATATTACAATAAAATATTACATTCTTAACGAAAAATTAATGTGCGGGCTGCTTTTGCGGTTTCACGTGCTACGAATCCCCTCGTCCTCGGTCTGGTTACTTCAGACTAAAAAAATTTGTTTTCTTTAGTATAAAATAATATGTAAAAATAAAATCGTATTACCTCAATTTCGATTGAAGAAGCTAACCATCCCCTTGCCAATTGTTTGACTGCCTTGATTTTCAAATCTGCTATTAAACCATTACCAGTGAAATTGAGTTGTTTTTTCAATTCTTGGACATCGATGCGGGATAAATAATATTCAACATTGCTTATTTTTGTATCTTTGGGTAACGGCATTTCCTTTCCAAGATACATTGAAATATCACAGGCCTGACGTAATGTACTGGGTCGTGTATATATATTTTTCATATGAATAACTTCTTCCACGGCATCATTTAATTGCAAGATCCTCGAAACATTCTCTTTAGTTAATCGTACATGTTGATCCTGTTGCAAACACTTTATCGAGAGAACGTTGTCACCGTTGTATTTATCTACTGAAGCCAATTTAAGCTCCTTCAGCATTAAATGAGATGGTCGTGAAAAATTGATGTAGTTAAGAGCTATATTAATTAGAGATTTATAGAATTCAATACTCATTTTAACACACTGCGAGTTATTTGTGATGTATATAACGCAATTAAACAAAAAATCAGGATCTAATCCTATATTTATAAAAATATTGCTATCAATAAAGAATGTAGTACAATCGATCAGATTAGCTGGCGGCGATGGTGGTGTATATTTGTAAGTTTTCTTGTAAATATTTTCCATATTTTCAATTGGACCAGCCATATTTATTTTACGCACTGAGAAATAATTATGATTTTAACACTGAATATGAGACAAGCACACGCGAGACACTTGGAACGATTATATAGAGTGACTGAATTTATGTTGTGTAGTTGTGTTCATAAACGAGCAAATTAAATATTAATTGGTGGGGGAGACATCGAAAAGTCCCTACAGGTTAATCGGGAGGGGGTAAATGGTATAGTGGTGGGGGAATTTATACCTCGCGGACGCCGGTTAAATGAGATAGAATATACCTTCTCAAACAGATGCGAGTAGGCGGCCCAGTGGTACGGTTGTCGCTTATCATGCAAGTTAACCGGGTTCGAATCACGGTCCGGCGGATAAATTTTTAAATTATTTTCCACGCGCGGCGGCAATGTCGTGCGGTGGTCATAGGTGGTGGGGTGGCGGGGGTACATCGTGTGTGATATATGGTGGGATGAGCAGACGGTATAGTGGGATGAGCAGACGGGTATAGTGGGATGAGCAGACGGGTATAGTGGGATGAGCAGACGGTATAGGGATGAGCCAGCAGGATGAGCTGTTTGAACTCTCTTTCTCTACCTACTGCCTTGCAACTGAATATAATATAATGACATAAATTTCCAATCATATTGTGTACTACTTTACTTAGTATATTTATTAGGCAGTGGTAATGTGGTATTTAGATTATGTCGATTATGATTTATGAGTCTTAACATAGTAACTGGTAAGACAAAAAGTAATAACATATTAAACTATATACTTATATATTATTTATGTGTTTAGGTAGTTTCAGGTAAGCCGTAAGCATTATATAAGATTGTTAATTTATTATTCATTATTATTCTCCTAGACTCTACGCCATACATGTCAACTTATTGAACTTAAAGGCATACACAAACCAAAAAAAAAAAAAAATTAAATTTGGTTTTCATACCAAGTAGTATAAAAAAAAATATCATGAAAACAGAATGTGAAAAAAAAATTATTCACAGAGTTAAGGCGAAATCAAAATATACCTGTGACGTCATTGCGTCGGACGTCTCCGCGCGGCACTGGCAGCCGGTCGTAACAAACCGTATGAAGAATACGTATAATAATATTCTCGTCGCCTACCGATCGCTAATCGCCGATAATTTTTTTTTTTTATTTCCATAAATAGGTCTTTTAATTATTTATAAATTATAAATATAACACTATTCCTAAATACTTATAAACTTATAAATAATAAACGTCATTGCGTCGGCCGTTTCCAAGCGGCATCGGCAAACATATAAAAATTATTATTATTATTATCATCGAATGTCGAGTGTCGACATGTCGACTGTTATTATTTTGTTGCAGATTCATGATGTGTTTCATTTTTATTTACTATAATTTAATTTCTTATATAATACCAAGTGAAATTTAATAAATTTATATTATAAATCTCAATACTTATACACAGAATAATAATGTCTTTAATACCATTCAATTTTGATCCTGACATTGAAGGTATAGACCGCTACTTATACAAGAAGATGATGACGATCCGGCTGTCAATTATGAAGGTAGATTAAATAATTCCAATTGGTGTTCTTGTGGATACCGTAAAGGAATGCTTAGTGACATCGATTGTTTATGCTGCAATGAGTTACCAAATTTAGAAAAAATACGAGAAGAAGAAGGGAAATGTATTACTTTACATCGATCATTTTCGAAACTAATATTGGATAAAGAAATACTAAATATTACTAGATACAATTTAATACTAAAAACTAAAAACAGAATTAATAAAAAAAAATTGGGTCAACATCATCCAGAAAATAAAACGTGGAGATTTATTTGTTATAAACAGTATACGTCTTGTATCAATTCTTGGTTTGCAATGGGAAAAGGGAACCGAGTGGTTTTGCCTGCATGTGTTGTACAGAAAATAAGAGAAGAATATCCAGAACCAAATGGAATATACGTAGGATTCAAAAATTCAAAAAAATTACCGGCTTATAATTAATCTGTATTACTAACAATATTGTGAACAAGAGTATAAAAATTATATAATATAAAAAAAATATAGTGTAATAATTTTTTTTTCCTTACAACATTGTAATTTATGAATTGTTATAATATAATAATTTTAATACTTTGTCAACATAGCACAATTTAAATCTTACACAAAATGGCTATTTAATAATTAATATATATATAACATAAAAAAGATATTCAACTAATATTAAGAAACCGTGAATGATTGGAATTTCGCATTATTTCCAACGCAGGTCGATCAATAGGTGCGATGTTTTTAGGCAGAGTTACATTGAGTGGTGTTTTCAATGGTGACATTTCGACTCCGTTTAAATGATCCAGTATTAAGTTAATTATTTCATCTCTCCAATTATTTGTACCTTTTTCATAAATATTTTTAGTAACCCATTTTCCAGTAGGTTTAGAAAATATATAATTTAAACCTATTTTTTTTTTATTTAAATTGGAATTATGTTCAATTATAGCAATTATTGATTTTATGTACATCGCTTTAAATGAAAAATGAACACGTTTTGGAACATATTTTTATCTTAAATTATGGTAAGACTCTAATCTTCCCGTGTGTACATAATTTTTTGTTTGCTTTAAATCTGTTAAAAACTTTTTGTTGCAAATTATTTCTTTCAATAGTTCATAAGGTTTAGAATCAGGAAGTAACCATAGGTTTTGTTTTTTGTACTCATCACTTAATGGTGGATGTTCACAAGTTTTTTTTTAATCCATCCTCTTCCCATTCATGAACGTTATTAATATGTTTCAATATAGATGTAAATTTTGTGACTAATACTTCAGAATCGCCATTGCATGTTTGTGCCGACCACCATAAATGATTACTTATGGATTGCTTCCATGCCAAAACTTCTTCGTATTTTTTATTAATTGTTTTAAATTTTTTCATTAGGCTTTTAGATAAATGCCATAAATCAAATTCATGTGTGATTTCTGGGTAAGATGTTTTCAACAAATGCCTTATTCTTACATGTCGGTCGGTTAATAATAAATCAATTTTGCATTTATCGGTACCTATTAATTTATCAATTAATTGTTTACAAGCATTTTTTTCTAAATCTCCCGGCATCATTTTTTTTTTTGAATTAATTGAAAATCTACTATACAACCAGAATTAATGTCCATAACAGTATAAATACAATATTCGGCACAAAAACCAGGTGAATCGTACTGACCATCTCCAGCAATCCATAACTGTCCACTTTCCTTGACATAATTCATCTGTTCTGTTCTCTTTTTCTCCCATATTTTTCCGATTAGAGGGTAAGAATATTTATTCATAATTTTATCGTATTGTAATGGGATTACGCAATATCATGTATTTTGCTCATAATAACAACCAGGAATGGGATTACGCAAAATCATATATTTGCTCATAATAACAACCAGGAATGCGACCACACCCAAAAGTGTTTTCGACTTCGAATACCACTTTCATAGTCGTGAGGTCCATATCAAGGACGACTGTACACGCGCCGCTCACTTTCAAAGGACGCCGCCACCATATATATAGGGGACAGCGAGACAGCCTGAGTAGATGTATCCAGAGACGAGAACACCACACGACTCGCTTAGCCGCCCAGCCATCACACACGACTTACACGGAGATTATCAACTTCGGAACGAGCTACAATTCGCTACAATCAACACTATTATTCTGCTTGTTTTGTCTGGTTTAATATAATACATTTGATTATCATACTAATTGACTATTATTATTTATCAAAATACACCAGCTTTTGGATCCCTGAAGGGCCGCATGTAACAGTATGTTGTTCTACTAAACATTACAAGTTTTAAACTTGAACAAAATACTTTAAACGTAGCAAATAAAGTACCAGATAAAAATATAAATGTAGCAATATGTACGTGACCCTTAGAAAATTGTTTATTAACAGGCTGTGAAAACCATTTTGATGAGTGACCTTCGCTACATTCTGATCTTACACATATTGTTGCACCAATTGCGTACCATTTTTTATTTATTATTTTACTTTTACAAATATTACGAATTGTATATAGTGTTAGTAATGAATTAATAAATACTAAACAATATTTTATTATCATATGTCATATGTCCATATGAATCAATATTTGATTTTTTAGCGATTAAACTCTCAACCATATCTTTTTTTTCTTGATTTTTTATTCTTTCAGAACGGGGTTTTTTAGTTGTTGGATTACCATCGCTATTTTTATCATTATTTATTACAAATATCGTTGGTATCGTACCTGGTTTTAAGCTGGGTGATCTTGACTTGTATTTGTCTCCCAATAATTTTTGTTTTAAAATGTCTGAGTCATCAAAATCTTGACTTTTAAAATGATGAGAACATATCACAGAATTATTAGTTGGTTTAAAAAGTTTACGCTTGCAAAAATTGGTCCATTTATTAAAACGCACAAGTGAATTATCGCGATTAGGAAATCTATGCGTTCTTTTATTGTTACTACAACCAAATACACTACAATACGGCATTATTCTCTTCGAATATTAAGTATTTGAGTATATTATATTTTTGCAGTAGGTACACATACGGAACAAAAATGATATAACGCGACGCACTAGTACACTACATACCGACTAGGCGAAAAGTGAATACTGACGAACTGGTTAAAATTGTTCGGCCAACAGAAAGTCTTGAGTATCATTTATAAATATTTAGGAATAGTGTTATATTTATAAATTATAAATAATTAAGGACCTATTATGGAAATAAAAAAAAAAAAATAATTGTCGATTAGCGATCAGCAGGCGACGAGAATATTATTATATGTATTCTTCATACGGTTTGTTGCGACCGGCTGCCAGTGCCACGCAGAGACGTCCGACGCAATGACGTCACAGGTATATTTTGATTTCACCTTAACTCTGTGAATATTTTTTTTTTCACATTCTGTTTTCATGATATTTTTTTTTTATACTACTAAGTATGAAAACCAAGTTTAATTTTTTTTTTTTTTTGGGTTGTGTATGCCTTTAAATAAACAATCTTACATATAACGATTCATTATTTGAATAATTAAATATGGAAATAAATCATTATACGTTATTGTTTATGTTCAGTGTCATTAAAATTGAAATATTTATCTCGTATAAATATTACTGAAGTTATATTGCTAAATTCAAAACAAATTACTACCAATCATACCAATATAATAAATGCATATTTAATATACACATAAAATTAAGAGGCCGTTCTGGTACGAAAATTCGGCAGTATTAACATGGTTTCGTACTTCTCATTTTCCTCAGCTCTCGTTAGTCGTAGAAATATAATTTTTTCACCAAAATAAACGTGAGAAGTTGATATAGGTTTGTCGTTCCAGATTTTCGATATTTTTTTTTTTCAAACCAATTATATTTGCATTTGAAATTTTCAAAATTTTCAAAATTTTTAAAAAATCATATAAAATAGACAAAAAAAGATATCAAAAATCTGGAACGACAAAACCTAGATAAACTTCTCAGGTTTATTTTGGTGAAAAAATCATGTTTCTACGACTAAGGAGAGCTGAGGAAAATTGGAAGTACGAAACCATGTTTTCGGTAAGAAAAAAACCGATTTTACAGCCTGTATGTTGCTGCTTACTGACAATAGCGGCAGCGTTCAAAAATAGTGTTCCTACCACTACCCCGCGCTCGACTGTAGCCATACCGCACCATAGTTCAAAACCAGATTTCTTATCGCGACCGGGCCGCTTGAAGTTTATAAATAATCGGTACGAAAACAATTATATTGGTGACAGAACTGTTTTCATAATACCCATATCGAATTTTATACTTCGTATATTATTATTATTATTCTGCTCGCCGTGTTTTACACAAACTAAAAATCTCACATCCTAAAATTGTTATAAATCGTTTAAAAAAATTACAATTTAAGTAATTATTTTTTTAATCTTGTAGAGAATTCAACGAGAAAATTATTTTTTTTAACGTTGACAAACAAATATGAAATTAATTCAGAATAACAAAAAAAAACCTTAGATACATATTATGAATACATGGAAATCTGTTGAATAAAATGACCAGTGTAATCAATGTACTAGGTATACAACATAATTCGACTTATAATAATTACAACATAAACCCCTAATTATATGACCTGAAACACAATTGTTTTATATAAAGCAGTCAAATACGAACTATATTTATTTGCCGTTTTTGTTTTTATATTTCCAAATATGTTGAGGATCTAAAATGTCATCTACCAACAGCCTCTTTCCGTACTGGGGATGGACTATTTCGGAAGTAAGCATTCTGTATAAAACTGAAAATAAAATTTGATATTATGCTTATGTAGGTAATTACGTAAAAATCCAATTAGGTACTATAAAATATAAATTAAAAAAATCATGTTCAATATTACACTTTTAACTTCTCAATCATTTTTTCGCGCCAGAAAGAATCATCGTAACTAATTATTTGTATCTCTATCCAATTGGCCGAATAAACAACGAAATAACAGGAATTTCGTTTTGAAATATGCATTTGTCCCTGAACTTGGTAATAGTAACTATGGTCCACTTTTAATTCCATTCTCCTGTCTTCACTGAGACGACAGAAAGTTAACTGAAATTAAATATTATAATAAAAATATTTTACATTTTACACTTAGAAAGTTAGAGCTAGCAATTAATGTATTGATTTGCAATGAAGTATGTTTTTTACTTTTTTATTTTTTGTGTCTTTGTGCAAGGTTACTCACAACGTTACTTATAAGATGTTATTAGTTGTAATTTAAAATTTGAGAGTTAATTCACAATAATATTTTATGAGCGTCGGAAGTAAAAATTTTGACAAATTTTGTCAAAATATCGATTGTTTGTAAAATGTTTTTGGTAGTTAAAACTTATAAAATGTTCTATTATAGGTAGCTAAGTAGTGATAATTTTAAACACGTTTCTCATAATTAGTTTAAACTGTAACCAAACAATTTCAAAATTGTATAAAGTAAAAATATTTTTTTTTTTTAAATATATATTTAAGTTAAAAATTTGAACGAAATTAGATAATGAACGGAGAATAATGATTTTAATTATTTTTTTTAAATTTAAAAATATTATTCTTCGCTTGTTGGTCCTTGAAAATCTTAAAGTATATCGATTGAAATATTTTAGGAGAATCGTTTTAAACACAATATAATAAATAATAATACTCTTACTTTTTTACTATTTATAGCTTCTAAAAATGTCTTAGTGTCTTTTACAGCATATGGACATTTAATTTCAACTATAAAATCATTATTGAGAAGACCGTCTATAAATTATAAAATAACTAATTTATTTGATTTATTTTATTTTAATACGGGCCGCAGCCCAAAAGTACAGAAAATAAATTTACATATTATAAGTGAATTCAATGTGTAGTAGACATAATAATTAATATAGAAAAAGGAAACAATACAAAAGAAAAGAATTACAGAACTTAACTTAAAAACTAAAAGACGGATCCTCATTGGCAATACGCATCATCCTATTTAGTGGTTTGTTTCGTGAATAATTTGTCGTACACAGTGGTATACTGAAAGGATAGGAAGAACGGACCTGGACACAGGGAATTTTTAAAATTACTTTAGATAGAAGTTCAGGACAGTCGATCGACCCATTGATGAGCTTGACTAGGAAGACTTTGTTAATGTTGATACGTCTATCGGCCAAAGACTGTAAGCCTAGCCTATCTATTACTGGATCATAATCATGAGGTCTATGTTCGATATTTAATATATATGCTGCAAAGCTCAAAAACTTGCGTTGGACTCTCTCAAGTTGATTCATATTGCTTGTGTTGTGAGGGTTCCATATAATTACAGAAAATTCAAGAATTGATCTGACGATCGCACAATATAAGGCTTTTAGTGGAGTTATCAACTTAAATTCGTTACAAACCCGCTTAAGGAATCCAAGAGCTTTTAAAGCTTTACAGCATGTCGCATCTATATGGTGATGGAAATTTAAGTAACTATCATAGAAAACTCCGAGGTCTTTCACAGTATTCAGTTCAATAGCAAGATAGGTTCCACGAAGTAAATAATTGAACTCCAAGTGAGTCCGACCTCTATAAAATGATTTTGAGCAACATTTGGAGACATTAAAATCCAAAACAATATTTACAGCCCAGGCATCCAGTGCATACAAGTCATTTTGAAGTAATTGACAGTCATGTACTGAGCGAATTTCTAGAAATAGATTTAAGTCATCTGCAAATAGTAAGAATTTACTGTGGCGAATAACTTTCTTTATGTCATTAATAAACAATATAAAAAGTAACGGGGAAAGATGGCCACCCTGAGGTACCCCTGACGGCGTGTTTAATACTTGTGATTTGATACCAAATATTTTTATGAATTGTTTGTGACCGGATAGATAAGAGCTGAATCATGATAACAAAGGCTCCCCAAAACCACTACCGGCAAGGACTTTCATAAGAACAGCATGGTTAACCCTATCAAGGCTTACTGAAGTCGTGTGTTGTAAACGACGTCAACCTGATTTTTTTTTGCAAAGGCATCAAACATAATCAGTGAACACTAGATTGCATGTGTTAAATGACCCGATTAGGCGAAACCCATGTTGCTCATCTATAATGATTTGATTTACCGCAGATTGGATAGAACTTAAGACTAATGATTCAAACAGTTTACCTATGTGACTGATGATAGTTATTGGCCTATAGATAGCTACATTAGAAATATCACCAGATTTAATATCGCGTATGGAACTAAGTTTGAGTATTTCAGGGTAGGATCTAGAATCAAGTAATTTTCGAAATAGAAGCCATAAAGGGAAACATATAGACGATCTGATTGAGAATAAGAAATCACCTGAGATACCATCCGGGCCAATAGAATTATTACCTTTCAGGCGTGATAGACCTTTTTCAACATCTGATATATCAAAGAAACAGTTGTTCGGAAGATCGTGAATGAGGGATTGGGATAATTCAGTTTTATATTTGACGTTTGCCCTAGAATATACAGAATTAAAATGTTTTGAGAAAAAGTCCACTGCCTCATTATTATTTTTACTAATTATACCATTGAGCGTGACTGTTCTGGGAATAGACTGACCTGTTTTATTCTTTCTAACAAAATCCCAAAATTTAGATGGATTGGCACAAAAAGTTTCTTCAGTAGAGCTGATAAATTTTTTGTAACATTGTTTACTCAAGTATTTATATTGAGCCCGAAGAAAACTGAAATTTTTATAATCATCTGGCTTGTTAGTGCTCTTAAAGATTGCGTGAGCTTTCCTTTTTTTAAATACTAAATTGATTAGTTCTCTAGAAAACCATGAAGGAAAATTAGAACGAGAAAATTTTACGTTCGGGACATGTCGCAGAATGGATAAATGTATCGCATCAAAAAGTGCATAAGCAGCAGAAGTAACATCTAAATTAGAAAAAGTTTCCAACCAATTAAAAGATAACAAAAATTTATTTATAAGAGGATAATTTGCTTTACGGAAATTGAAGTAGCAATGAGAAGAATCAATTTGTGGTATATTGGTGACCGGAATAAAGTCTATGGACAACGCGGGGTGATAGCGGTCTTCTGGTACCACTGGGACCAATGCAGCTTTAACCTTAAACTGATTAAGATTTACAAAGATAAGATCTAATAGTGATCCTGATTTATTAAAAACGTCGTTGATTTGAAAGAAGTTATTCGCTGCAAAAGTCTCCGGAAGACAATTAATAAGATAGCCAGAGGTAGAGGAATAAATCAGACCATTTTTGTCATTTGACCAAGAAACATTTGGAAGATTAAAATCACCACAGAAGATAAACAAATGGTCAGAATAAATGGAAAGTTGATTTTCAACAGTAGACATAAAGGTCTCATAGGATTGAAGAGGAGAGTTTGGAGGTAGGTAAGCACTGCTAACTATATACTTTTTACCACTTAGAGTGAAGTTCACAAACAAAACCTCAATATCCAAACAAGTAACAGGTATTAGATATGAAGGGAGATCAATACGAATGCCAACAAGAACCCCTCCGCCCCTAGAACAGCCACTAGTGGTGTTATTTCGGTCACATCTAAAAATATTATAATTAAACAAATTGAGTTCACCATCAGCTATATCATTATTAAGCCACGTTTCAGTTAAAGTAATGAACGGATAATTAAAACAAGAAGTGTTACATTTAAAATTAAATAACTTAGTCCTCTGCAGTTTTGATAAAAACCAAGAGAATTATTTACCCACAAATAAGTATTATCTACAATTTTATTTTTGTTACCGCCGCGGCCATCAATTAGTTTTTTGTATTTTCCGTTGTTGGTTGCCCAGGATTAGTTCGAACCAGTTTTGGAGAAACATAAGAGTTTCTTATAACTCAGCCATGGTCACCACTGTCATGAAGACGCTTAAGTTCAGATCGGAGACCAGACAGCTGCTTCCGTTGCATGAGAGTAAGATCTTCGTGTATCCATACATTTTTCCAACGCTCGAGATTCCGTAGTTTCCGTTTAGACTTAAGGACCATATGGACATCTGTTGGGGAGTTGAGCTGAACAACAATAGGCCGAGGACGGGATCCCACTGGGCCAATTCCTTTAACTGAGGTAGATTGGCATTGGATTGCCAAGTCCTGGAAGAGGTGATCAACCATGACATTTAAAGTTTCAGAATTTTCAAGGGGAACGTTGAAATTCATAAAATTGTTTGCCTTTGACATCCTTTCAAGAGACTCTTGATAAATGTTATATTCATATGTGGCAGGACCACAATGGTGCTCAGACTCCAGCTTGCTGATTTTTTCATGAAGTGATTTAACTTCAAGAGCTAAAGAAGCTTTTTCCTCCTTAACAAGGTTTAGTTCAGTGGTAAGATTATCAATAGCAGTAGAGAATGATTTAATACTAATTTCAAATCCTTCTATATTTTTTACAATGGTTTCGAGTTTTATATCATGAGAAGAAACACTCTCCTGAATAGTAACCAAGGATTTCCAAATATCATCTAAAGTAACTACCTTCTTAGCAGTGGATGTCAAGTTAGATCCTTTGTTTGAACGAGTAATCATAGGCGTTGAAGGCATATTTGACAAAAATACAATAATGTACCTTATACTGATGAAGAAGGCAACCAGTTTAACGCTAGACGCCTGGTAGATTTGAGTTAGGCAACACAATATGATGGAGCAGATGAACGACAGGCAGCCTGCTATACCACGTACAAATTTAACAGGGTCAAGCGGAAAAACCGATACAACGTACGTAAGACCACTGCTCAGCTATAAAGCGGTAGAATAGATAAGAGATGTAGTGGATTCAGTTTGAACAATTTATAGTATGAGATAAAAGCGAGGTAATGACCGAAAGATTAACGAGATTAACGACGATTAACGAGACGCACGGACGATAATCAGCGATAAGACGCGACTATAACAACGCACGTCAGACCGTCATGAAAGCCGAGACTGTACTGTTGTATTGATTCAATTAATATTTATAATTAAGTACTAAAATATATTTTACCAGGAGAAGCTGCTAAATAAGGAAAATATTCATCAATAATAAGTCCACATTTATTCACTGTGCAATTAAATTTTTTTTCCAACGCGACGATAGCTTGTGATTCTGTAGCTTTACCATAATCAGTTGCTTTCGAAGAAATAGTCCTATATAGTATACTATAAACAGTATTTTTGCACGACGTAGTTTTTCGAAATTTACAAACGCAGCCAAAATTTGACGCTGTGAGCCGATTTCTACGTTCAACATGCCAAATTTGAGAATTGGCCTGTTCCCTTGTTTGTTCTTCAATGGTTAACCGTTCACGTCTGTCCAACTGTAGTGTTTTTAAAAAATCGTCTTTTGTTTTTTCTAATACTTCTATTGAAATATTGTCTTCCGGTAATTTTTCAGCTAAACTATAATGTTGATCCGGGCCACTATTACACCTTCTTTCTGAATTTCCCGAGAAAAGATGTTTTTTAGATTTTGGCTGGGATCTTTTTTTTTTTACTAAATGTAAGGAATTTTTTTCCTATTTCTCCTATTAAAAAAACAATGTAAATTTCCTGTATATTATGTTTGGTATAAATACAATTACAACAATAATATATTATACCTATACCTAATAATTAGTGTAATTAATATTATCATTGTCATTTTATTTGGTAGGTAGGTGCATGAAAATTGTTTAGAATAATAATAAATGTACATAGTATTCACCTGGACTTATATCATTGACTATATTTTTATGCATCAACCGAAAAAATTGTCCACCTGAGTTGCATGATATAACCGCTGCTTCGCCTCGAGCATTGTACGAATTTCTTTGTGAATAATTTATTCGTTTACCCGCTAAATGTTTATTAATTACACTGTTGAATTGTTCACACACGTTGTTGTCAACATTCATCAGTAAACTATCAACATTTGCGACTAAACGAGATACTATTTGGGATATATCGCTCACAATCCCTGAAGTCTCGGTGTCTTCGATCAAATTTTTTTCATTAATTGGTCGTGGTTTTTTACAATGGTATTCCTCACATCGATCATGGGCACCTATAATGTGTCGAAAACTGTTATTTATGTCTTGCCGTAGTCCTTAAATAATATATGCATATAATGTTATAATACGATAATAGTGTTCATTTATAATGTTACCAAAAATATAATTTTTATAATCAACTTGCCTACTGCCTTTTGGTAATCTGTTAGGCCTGGTAAACCACTGCGATATTCAATTGCCTTAGTTATTGCAGCCCCAAAGCGTTTCATATTTGATTTTAAGTGATTCCTTATCGAAGTCGGGTACTTATTATTTATCGTCATAGTTCTTAATTTTGTTTCATAATTTCGCAATAAATGGTTCCGACATTCTATTTTTATTACTCGTAGCCTAGGGCCATAAGGCATTATGTCATGTAATCTTCTTGTAACGCTTGAGTCTCCATCTCCTATAATATATTTTTTGTATTATATGCAAGTAGTATGTATTAGTATGTCACAGTCAGCTTTTCCACGGTAAAAAAAAAGTTCAAGGTGGAATGTTCCACTTAGAGCACTCCGGTTTACCGCGTGTGATACAATATGGTGATTGCACAAACGTTGTCCACCAATTTCCCCCTTGCACAAAAATATTTACTGTATTCAATTTTTCACTGTTTTTTTTATCAAAATTTGATAAAATAAACTATCAATAATTTATTTTTTTACACCAATTTTTTTTCTAACTATTATTTCAAGGAAAGAACACAAATTATTATGAAATAAAATAAAATAAAATTTGGTGTGAAAAAATAAATTATTGATAATTTATTTATCAAATTTTGGTAAAAAAAAACTGAAAAATTGTGCTCTACGCGGAAAATTCCCTCCTTGAACTTTTTTTTTACCGTGAAAAAACTGACTGCGAACATACAAATACATACTACTTATTGATTAAAAATTAACTAAATTTATTAATATTATATAATATAGGTAGTTGATAAACTGTGCATGATTGAAAAACTTATGTAACTTACTTACCTATTAGTTTATTGTATTTTAGACCATGCATTTCTAAACTCTGTTTAAAACCATCAGCAATAGTATCAGCTTCTATACCTGTAGCACTCTTTTTCCAATTTAAAAAACATGTATGTTCAGGTGGATTTTATTTTTTATTTTTTGCCCTCTGGCAAATTACACAAAACCGATTTCTAATTCCCACAAACAAAATTTTTCTCGACCTATAACCAATTATTGATGCCTCAAATTAAAATAAAATGCAATAGTAAAATTTATAAAAATGGTATATAATATGTAGGTAAATTTCTTACCACTCCAGATAATGCATCATATTTAGTGACCATATTTTAGACCATTGTCCATCTGCGACAACCGTGCACATAGGAATTCCTATATCTACTGATCAATATCTACTGATCCAGCTTCTATTGCTAAACGACGTTCTTCTTCGCCGCCAATTTTCATTTGTGCTTCTGCGACATCGTGAATTCTTTTGGTGATAAATGATTGAACTAATATAAAAGTACATGACGCCATACATTGAATATCCATTGTCGCACATAATTCAGACAATTGCGTAAATCCAATTCCAGCTGATATCGATCCACTAACGGCGGCTTCGTTAATTGGGTAAATAATTTTCTGGCTTCAATTTTTCCGAGTCAATAAACATAATAATATTACAAACATCACATTTAAACTTAAAAGTTGATCTTAATCCATGTTTTTTTTTTCAGAAATCAACGTCATGTTTAAAAATGAACAACCAAATGGCCCTTTGTGATCACTATTTTTAATTTGATAAAAAACGTAATTCATATCTACTATTCGTCTACCAGAGCTTTCATACTCAATATACTGATTACTAGATCATTGTTCAGCCACCAAATCATGTACGGTTTCTTCAACACCCCAATCATTAATTTGATTGTCTATCGAGTTAGTTATTTCACTACAAAACAGTTGAAAAAGCTAATGTTACTATATATATTAGAATATTATACTAACATAATATATATATATAATTAAAAACTAATTAATTGCGTTTCATATAATCCACTTAAATAGTAAACTATGTAAAGTTTACCTGATTGTTTCATTAGAAGAACACGGAGATTGATTATCAGCCCCTAAGAAAAAGGGCTCCATGACAGGTTCGATTACTACGGGGTTGTGCCTTGAATTAAAATAAGATAAATAAATTATGTTAAGCTATGTAATTATTTCATTATTAAAACTATTTATTTTTCGTTTAAATTTTAAATACTTGTTTTCGTTCCGAATTCCAAAGAGCGCTTTCATTCGAGAACTCAGATTTTTTTTGTTTGTTAGCTTCTTTGATGTATATCCGCGCTTTTTATTTTTTGATGGATCCATTTTACGGTAAAAAATACGATGAGTACGTAATAAAACAAACGTTTAGTGAGAAATTTTGAATTTAAATTATGACGAAATGATAATAATTTATAGTAAAACAGTGACTTATATGTCTCGAATACGGGCACATAGATACTAACTAAAAGGACATTTGTACACACTACACATAAGATATTTATTATTTAAATTTTTAATATAGTCTAAAATAATAAGAGTATACCTTTTTTTTTTTTTTTTTTCCTGTTTTAACCGACGGCGCCGCGGGATCTGCTTTCGCATTGCTTCCGCGGCGCCGCCATCGTTTATTGACGGTATCAAATTAATATATACATGGGAGGCAGACGGGACAGCTCCCCGACTTACCCCGTTCAAGCATTTTAAATTTTGCATTAACAATTAGGACTTCTTCCTGACCTTCTCGGGCCGACCGGAGTCCGCCGCCCTTGAATTCGCGTGCCTGTCATCCGATTGGCGAGCCGACCGGAGTCCACCGCTCTGGATGTTTCGTTCTCCATCAGGGCGGTCGCACGTTCCCCTGTGCCCTTAGCAGGGCCTGTTCCTCGCGTTCATCTTTTTCCTTGGTCGACAGAATCGTCTCGACCATGCGGATGAACTCCATGCGGTTAGTTTCGAACTGTCTGATAATTCTCCTTCGGGCTTGGCCGTCTTCCGGCAAGTCATGTGACAGGGGAAAACACAGGATTTCCTCAACGTCGCCCGCGTTCGGAGGTCGCCTCATGATCTCAGTCATTCGAACGCGGTCGCCAAGCCATCTCGGGCAGGTAAAAACCGTGTGCTCAACAGTGTCGTCGGGGTCGACGCAGTATACGCAATAGCTGTCGCCGTTTAATCGGGCGGACGACGTTGAGGAAATCCTGTGTTTTCCCCTGTCACATGACTTGCCGGAAGACGGCCAAGCCCGAAGGAGAATTATCAGACAGTTCGAAACTAACCGCATGGAGTTCATCCGCATGGTCGAGACGATTCTGTCGACCAAGGAAAAAGATGAACGCGAGGAACAGGCCCTGCTAAGGGCACAGGGGAACGTGCGACCGCCCTGATGGAGAACGAAACATCCAGAGCGGTGGACTCCGGTCGGCTCGCCAATCGGATGACAGGCACGCGAATTCAAGGGCGGCGGACTCCGGTCGGCCCGAGAAGGTCAGGAAGAAGTCCTAATTGTTAATGCAAAATTTAAAATGCTTGAACGGGGTAAGTCGGGGAGCTGTCCCGTCTGCCTCCCATGTATATATTAATTTGATACCGTCAATAAACGATGGCGGCGCCGCGGAAGCAATGCGAAAGCAGATCCCGCGGCGCCGTCGGTTAAAACAGGAAAAAAAAAAAAAAAAAAGGTATACTCTTATTATTTTAGACTATATTAAAAATTTAATTTAATTTGTTATGCTACTTACCAATTTCACATAATGTATTTTTTTTTAAATTAGGTATGCCACCTTCAGAAACTTATGTTTCAAAAGCAAATTTAGAATCAGTCAAAAGAAGCTTAGAATATAAAATCACAGAAGAGGCCAAACAAACAAGGCACTTATTTGCATCCCACAATAATATAGGAGATATTAACAAAATCATGCAAGAAGAAAACTTAGATGACATGCCCAAATTAAACTTAGAAGATTTCCAACAGTTCGATAACGAATTAAAAAATAACTTGGAGTTGATAAAAAAGCTGGTAGAATTACTACTGAAACTGCACAGTTTTATTTGATTTGTAAATCTATTTTTTATTTTTTAGAAATGTTTTATGTTGATTACCATTAAAAGTGGAGATAAATTATCTGAAAGTTTAAAAGCAGTTATTCCGAGAATAATTTCGAAGGAAGTACAATTATTATATAGTGCTTTTGGGAGGGAAACTAATGGAAGCAAGAAACTGAACTTTTCTGGGACACAATCATACAAATACTTATTAGGTATATAATATTGTTCATATTTTGTATTTTATTTTTTTAAGTGTTATTTATTTTTAATTTCAGAAACCATTACTACCAAAGACCCTAATTTAAAACTAAAGGATATTTCAAGCCAACTAAGCCGTTGGTTTTCGGGTGCCAAGGACCGTGAAGGTGGAAAGAAAGAAAGGATATTTAAGAAAATGAAACACAGCCTTAGTAGAGAAGATAAAAGTGATTAAAATATGTTAATTGTATTTTAAAAAGGTGTTGTTTAATAAAGATTTTGAAAGAACAAAATTGAATTATACTTTATAAATTATTTATATCTTAGAAACACTAAAGATTGATCACTAACAACATTTTATTTTTTGAACTAGGCGTAAACATGCTAAGTTATATATTAATTTGGAAATTGTATTCAACTTTTTTATAGTTACCTACTATATTCTACCCATTTTATAACATATTTTTTTATATTTATACATACATAGGAATAGATATTAATATATTTATCATTGTTACATTGCATGTTGGCACAAATACATAAACTGACAATTATAGATTACTAAAAATATATTATAAAATATTTATATAAGTTTCATTAGTAAGGGCAAGCCAGCACAGAACCAGCAATGGTAGACCAAGTACAGAATATTATTGCGCCAGTAATATTACTTGGTACTGTACCAGTAATATTACTTAGTACTGCACCAATAATATTATTCAGTACTGGTCTAAATCTGCCTGCCAGTAATATGCCAGCATTAGCCAGTACTGGCACAATGGTTCGCCAGTTGCTAGAAAGTACTATTCTGGTACTAAATGTCAGTACCAGTCCAGCACTGAAAGTCAGTACTGAGAGTCAGTACTGAATACTGTTATCACCCCAGACATATACCAGTACTGGTGCCATACTGGCTGCCAGTAGTGTGCCAGCATTAGCCAGTGCAGGCGCAATGCCGCGCCTGTTGTGGATTTCCGATTGGGCAGTTTCTATAAGAAAGGATACATTTTTCAACAAATCACATTTATCACTATACCAAATAGTCTCTTTTTCTTATTTATGGCTTGAAAATGTATCATTATCGTTTATTAAAAAACAAATAAAATTATCTCAACAATCCGCTGTTGTTATGACTGTTTAAAAGAAGAGGGATTTAAACACCTAACAGTAAATCCGGATACTGGGGCTCACACTAACAACGTGGAAGGAATGTGGCGCCACGCTAAGGCTTCACTATCCCAATATTGTCGAAAGAAACGATTTTACGGAGGATATTTAGCGAAATTCATGTTTTTGAAACGCTGCAAAATTCTAAAATTAGATCCGTTGAAAGAATTTTTTATTTATACAGGAAACCTATATAATCCGTTAGGCGCAATTGAGCAAGAATATATTGTAGATGATCAGGCGTCAGATGAATCCGATTCTGATAGTGAAGTTGAATATTGTTAAATGTATTTAATTAAATAAAATAAAACGATTTATCACTTAAAATAAAAAAAAACATTATGGTTAAAAATTATTTTATAACATTGTTAGATTAAGAATATATTTTATTAAATCACTATTTTAACGCTCTTATAATGTGGGCAATGATTGCCTTGCTAGTGGCACTCGTCGCTGCGCTCCTCGGCGCCGTCGCTCCGCTCCGCAAATCGAAAATATCCCCCGACTTGCTATGCAACACCACCTCAAGTAGGTCACAGGGTAAGTTATGTTGTAATTATTTTTGCACTATCGTTCTAAATTCGTTGAAATACCTGTTTCCGAAAAAAATAATTTGTTATAAGAGCGTTAAAAAATAGAGCGTTGCGCGCATAGTAAAACATCGAAAATCGTGAACTTCGCAAGTCTATAACTTCAAAACTAATCATTTCCGAAAATTTATTTTTACACCATCGTTCTAAACTCGTCGAACTTCATAGGTTTCAAAAAAAAAAAATCGAAAATTCGAGGGGGTGCTAAACTAGATTTATACCAACAGTTTTATAGAAATTATTCTAAGTCCAAATAATTAACTAAAAGCGAGTTGTGACTATGAATATTTAGTGTGACTGTCGAAGTTGAGGTTGGTTGCTCGTCTGATGGACGCTTGTCCATCAGCTCTCCACGATGGATCTCTGTCCCTTGCCACTTCCATACTTTCTAAGACCATATATGGTCTTGCGGTTAAGCCTTTTGTGAATTTCACACGCTTGCACGCGCCGGAAGTCTACATATATCTATATTGTACATTTGTGGTGTTATTTAACATAATTATATTCATATATTCATATATATTCATAATCATATATTTATTCATATACGTAGTCCTATATCTATTGTCGCACGCAGTTCATGGTCACGCGCTCGATATTATATTATTACTATTCGAAGAAGCGCTCGAGTATAATATTTATATATACGCGGTGCGAATATTATATGATTACGTATGCATTAAATGTGTTTAACCCATATGGCTAAATAGTCACAGCTCGCTACACTAGGTATACTCTTATTAGTTCAGCGGTGGCTGTCGTAGCAGTAGCATGCGTGTTAGCACCGTCCTGATATCAAGGCGCTTCCAGCTGGCAATTGTTAACAGTTTTTTATGATATTTGTACTGAAAAGTGCCAAAAAAGTGCGCGAAGGGACCGGTGTCGGTTTCGAGTCGGCCCTATAAAAATCTCCCCCATAAGGGCAGTTTTAAGTTAGGATTGTACGACTACGGATTAAGGTAAGAGCAACGCTTATTACATTATTACTCTTTCGTATCGGTGAGCGGCCGGCCAAAGGTCAGTCGGCGAGCCGTCGTTGTCGCCGTTATCGCTGAACCCGTATCGCGAATCGGGCGGCGTACGGTCGAGGCGGAAGCCAAACAGTAGCATACCTACACACTGTATGAAATACAGGGTGACGCATAGCTAATAAACCACTACGTCGCAGAAGTATGAATCGCGGCAACCACGATGACGATGATGGCACCATGGAAGCTGAATCTGGTGACCCCAACTCCAGTCCGATGGGTAACAGACTGTGCACCGGAGGTGACACTACACCAGTTACGGGTGTTAAACGAAAGGTCGCCATAACAATACCTACCTCCACGACGGAGAGCAGTGGGAATCAGGTAGAGGCGGGACTGGCGTGCATCAAATCCTTGCTGAAAACAGCAATGAGCGAAGCGAGACAAGGGGGAGATAAATCGGGATCCAACCGTCTCATTAGGATACTGGAAGATATTTTCGACGTCGTGGCTCCGATGTTAACAAGGGGAAACTGAGGTCACCACTTCTTCCCCCAGCTAAGAAACTGAGGGACGACTCGGCGACCGACTCAGTGGCCAAGGGCATTGACGGGCCGGTGATGGTTGACGTTGGGACAGACACCATACTGACCCCTAACTGGTGGGAGAGTGAACAGGAGCGACGGAAGAAGGAGTCAACAAGACGTCGCCCACGCAAGGCAGGTGCTCGTGGGCCGGCAGAGGTGACTATTCACACCGACGATGGAGCTGAATCGGCGATGGAGACGGACGGCGAAGCGTGGAAGGAAGTCAACGGTAGGAAAACAACCTCAGCATCTCCCAATGGTAGAACGGTGGGCCAACACATACCTCTGAGAACAGGGGCCAAGCACAGGGCTAAGCCCCCGGCTGTCTTAGTCAAGTTGGCGGCTGGCACGTCATACGCAGACACCGTTCGCGCAATTAGGCAGAACAAAGAGATAAACTTGGCGGAGCTGGGAGCTCAGGTAACAGGCATGCGTAAAACCAGGGATGGTCATCTGCTAGTTGAGCTAGACAAAGGTGCTGGATCTGCAGTAGCAGCACAGAAGTTGTCGTCGGCCATTGCTACCAGGCTGGGTGACGTTGTCGGAGGAGTATCGCAGCTTAGCCAGTATGCTGTAGTCGAGATTGTGGACCTCGATGCAGTAGCAACCAAGGATGAGGTCCTGTCAGCATTGCGGGCGGCAATACCAGGATCTGATGACGACCAAGCAGCCATCTGTGAACGGCAGGCTATGCAGATCACTGGTCTCTGGCCCACTAGGTCCGGCCAGCAGATTGCTACTGCCAGAATGACTAGAGCCGCCGCCTCTAGTATAAGCCGAGTACCAATTGGATGGACAATGTGCCGCGTTCGCCCTAGGCGGTCTGAACCAGAAAAGTGCTTCCGATGCCACGGATTTGGACACCAAAGTGGTAATTGCTCCGGGCCCGACCTATCGTCCAATTGCAAACGCTGTGGAGAACCAGGGCACGAGCTAAAACAATGCCTGGCAGACAAAGACTTATGCGTAGCGTGTGAGAGAGCTGGCTTCGAGCGTTACGAGCATAAGCCAGGCTCAGGTATGTGCAAAGCCAGAAAGGAGGCAATCAAGAAGCCAACCGAGCACAATCCACAGAACCAAGCCGTACGTCACACGAAACTCACGCAGTTCTTCGCGCTCAACGCGACCAACGCGGAGGCCCGACAGTACTTGTACCACGACATACCGACGCATTACACGTGGCAGGTTCCACGGCCAGAAAGAAATCTCGGAAATCTCAGACAGTGGCGTCCGCGGGTGAATCGGATGACAAACGTTACATTGGCTCGGATGTACGTAGTCAACCCACTGGACCGGGACCGTTTCCACTTGAGATTGCTACTTCTGAACCGAAGAGGCCCGCAGTCCTTTCAAGACCTAAGGACGGTGGACGGGGTCGTTCACGAAACATTCACGGCGGCTGCGGTTGCACTCGGACTGTTGGAAGACGACCGAGCGTGGCGGGATTGTTTGACGGAATCGGCGACGTTGGACACACCGCGGCAACTGCGGTATCTGTTCGTCACCATACTGGTGTTCTGCGAGCCCTCAAACTCGCTGGCGTTGTACTGCGCGAACGAAGCAAACCTGATGGAGGACTTCAACAGACGACTCCAAGACGTCGACCGCGCGAGGGCCGCGTGTCTGGCAGCCATCGAGGATCTACTTCGTGCGCACGGAAAGTCGCCGGTAGACTACGGTTTGCCCCTGGCCGACCCCCTTCTACTGGAACCACTGCAGCAGGACGATGCGCTGTTCCGAGAAATAGACGCGGCGGCAAGGTGGGCCCCACAAGTGGACGCCTTGAACGCCGAACAGCGAACGGTGTACGACCGCGTGATGGCGGCCGTCGACGACCCGCGCGAGGCGTCGCGAACTTTCTTCGTCGACGGACCCGGAGGTACCGGAAAGAATACGCTGTACGGATGCCTGATATGGTCGCTT